TGAATGGGAAAAAAAAAAAGGACGAAAGAGAAGCAGCATCAGTAAGGGACACAGTAGACAAAAAAAAAAAACAAAAAGACAAACCGGAAGAAACTGTTCAAAGAAAAAAAAAAAGAAAACAGGATGACAGATTCAATCGTGACAATATAAAAAAAAAAAAAGGGGGAGAAAAAGAAGAAGGCAGGAAAGGATAGGAAGATAAGAAGCAGAAGTTACGACCAACCACCCCCCTGAAGTAATGCTAACGCGGTTCCGGGGGGGTAGGAGAACACCTGGTCGAGGAAGGGGTTTTAGCCGGTAAGAGTCCAGGCACTACCAGAGACGATCGAACCTAAGTCTCTGGTGCCCATGAGGGTTTCCCCTTCTGTTATAAAAAAAAAAAAAAGGTCAGGTCAGGTCAGGTCAGGTCAGGTCCCCAGGGGAGAAACCAAACTCCTACTGGGCGCGTCCCCCGGGTGGCGGATAGGGGAAGCCCTCACCGGCTTTGCCGGCGGGTTGCGGCGAAATTAAATAGCCGCCGCGGACCAAATAGAGCAAGGAGGAGACAACCTCCATGAATAAAAAACACTTATGACGACCTAGGCAAGAAACAGGTTGAAGAGATGGTTGTAGTTAGTCAGGTGGGTTGCTCTTGGTGAAAAGCTCCCTCACCACGACAAGGTGGCAGCCCATCGAGGGAGAACTAACGTTCGAAAAAGGCATGGACACGGACTCGACTTAGGCTCACGACCCGAAGGCGGGTGGTGGAGCGTAGCCGCCCGGACACACACCGTAACCAAGGCCCACAGTCAACAACCGCCGTTGAGCGCGGCGGCGGTACGTCTGTGGGGACCTTTGGCCGGGGGGCTTGCCTTAATCGGCCGGCCCGCGAGGAGGCAACCTCTATAAAAGAACCGACAGCGAAGTCGCAAGAACCTGCAGGGCACCAGGCGCACCCTGCAGTATAAATGCCTTCCCCTCGGTATGGGACCACTGCCGAGGGGCGACTCCGATCTGTACCCAAGACGTGGGAACAAAATGGACAAACTAATACAAACAAAAAAAAAGGATGAGGGGAAAGAGGTCGAGAGTTTCAGCTCAAGTACAAACGACATAAAGGAGACAAGCAAGGACGAAGACCCTTTCAAAAAGAGGGAATCACTCTCGAGAACACCTCCCGAGAAAGAAGGGCAAAAAGTGTCCAGCTTGAGAACCAACTGGGCGCCATGGGGCCTTGGTAGACCAAGAGCAAATACGAACGGAAGTGATACAGAGAAGGGAGCAAAGAGGAAGGCGACCGAATCTCCGGAAAATAAGGAACATAAAATAGGTAGAGATGCAAATCTACTAAAGAGACGACATGCTGAAGCCGAAGAGAGGCTAAGCAAAGAATTGGAGGTGTTAGGTAACTTCATTCAAGAAAACAGGAACGTTCATGTACCTGTAAAAAAAAGTGTCGAAATCATACAAAGAAGTTATAAAAAATTAATAGAAATCATTAGAGTAAAAGAGGAAGAAGAAGATGAAAAAGGAAAAGAGTGGCAAAAAAAATAGACACCCTGAAGGGGACTGTAAAATATATAGAAGAAGAAAGTAAGATAACAAAGAAAAAGTTGGAAGAAAAAATAGCAGCTGTGCATGAAGAAAAAGACCGGCTAATGGAAAAACTAAGAAAAGCGGAGAAAATGGCAGAGAGAGGTGTTCAAAAAATGAACGTTACAAAGCAAGAAATATTAAGGTAGAAGCGGACAATAGAGAAAAATTCGATAAAATCAAAAGTAATGCATGGGAACAAAATGCTTTCGAAAACGTGGAGGTAGTCGTGGGAAACCCATTGGGCGAAACAAAGAGTGAGTGCATGGTAGTAATAGCAGAACCGGGAGACTCGGATATGAACCGAAGTATTCAAAAAATGTTCAGGGATAGGTATCCAGAAATGACAGAAATGAGAAATAACTTTGAAATAATAGAGAATGTGGTTAAAACAAGAAACATAGAAAACAAGGACGAAGTAAGAGAAACAACTCGGAAGATTATTAAAATAAAGACGACAGATACAAAGGACGACCTATGGGACCTATTAAAAAAATTTCGAGAATACACGAAGGAAGAAAAAATAGAAAACATGGTGACACATAAGATAGCAGAAATAGAAGGAAAAGAACTGAGAAAGATGATGCAGTGTATATTCATGGAGACGCAAACAAAAATAAAAATGTACGTACCGAAAAGTCTTCAAGCAGAAACCGGAAAGAGACAGTTCAAAGCAACAAATTCGTACGCGATAGTGGTCGAAAAAAAAGGAGTCGACTACAATACCCTCTTAAAAGAAGTAAAAGCCACACTGGCGGAAAAGGAAGATAGAAAAGCTATAAGAACGGTGAGGAGTACGAGAGATGGTAAAATGCTGATTATAACAGATAAAGACCAGGAAAAGGAACAAAACATAAGAAAAACAATTATAGAAAATATTGAAGAGGCAAACGTGAGACAAATAACAAACATAAATAGAAACAAGAAAACACTGTTTATAAGGAACCTAGACGCAACAACTAATAAAGAAGAAGTAAAACAGGCAATCAGGAGAGAACTGGGAGATAGAGGAGAAGTAGAGATGAAAGTAGGCGAAGTGAGACCAACGAGACATAACACACAAACAATCACGATAACGATAGATAAAGACAGCGCGGAAACCTTGATCAGGAAAGAATTTGTGATGATAGGAATTGTAAAAGGTAAAATCGAAGAACGTATGCAGATGACGCGATGTTATCGGTGCTGGGGTTACGGACATGCAGCGAGTGAATGTTTAGAAGAAATAGATAGAAGAAATACATGCTATAAATGTGGGAAAGAAGGGCATCAAGCCGGGCAGTGTAACAACGAGGCAAAATGTCCACTTTGCGAACAAGAAGGGCACACAGCGGGTAGTTCAGCATGTAAGATCTTCAGAATAGCATTAAAGGAAGCTAAGAGAAGTGCGGAGGCTCCGCAAAAATTAAACTGAAATGGCGCAAATAAACAAAATACCGCTCACCAAAATGGTGACACAACATAGGTTCCTACAAGTGAATCTAAACAGATCAGCCATGGCCATGGCACTTATGAGAAAGACCATAGAGGAAAAAAATATAGATCTGGTGCTAGCCCAAGAGCCAAATATAAAGGCACTGGGAACAAGTGATATATACTGTGATACTAAACAAGATGCTGTGATAATAGTCTGTGATATTTTCAAATCGAATGTGAGTGAATGTGGAAAATGGCCAGGCTATGTGTGGGTCCGAATAGAAGATACTCTGTATTACTCGTGCTATTTTTCTCCCAACAAGAGCAATCAACAATTTTTGTGCTTTCTAGACAAGTTACAGAGAGATATAAAAGGAAAAAAAATACAAACAAAATGATAATTTCGGGGGATCTAAATGCTAAATCTAAAACATGGGGAGCTAAATACACAGACAGTAGGGGGAAGATACTAGAAGAATTTATAGCCGAGGCAGGGCTTTGGATAATAAATGTTGGCAATAGACCAACATTCCAAACTGAAAGAGGATCGTCGGTCATTGATATTACACTAGCCACAGAAATGGTCGCGAAAGAAATCTCGAACTGGTACCTATGTAGATACAGACAGCGAGAACTTAAGTAACCACAATAACATCTTCTATACAAGGAATAAACAGACAAAAAGAATCCAAGAACCGGAAAAAACTAATAGTTGGATACTAAATACAGCAGGGTTAGAAAAAATAAAAAAACAAATAGCCGAATACTGGGATTTTCCAATAAATGCTGACTTAAACGAGAAAGTGAAATATTTAACAGAGACTATAAAAGAAGTGTGCAATAATTTCCTGAGTAAGACAAACAAAAGCAAAAGAAGGCCACCAGTCTACTGGTGGAATGCAGAAATTGCGGAGCTAAGAAGAACCACCATAAAAAAGAGACGAGAAATGACAAAAACAGGAAGGGACATAAATATTGAAGATAGGAGAAAACAAGCAGAAGTGGCATATAAAAAAGCTAAATTGAATCTTAAAATAGCTATAAGAAAAGCAAAAAGCGATGCGTGGAAAAGTCTATTACTGGAGATCGACGAAGATAGATGAGGGAAAGGATACAAAATCATAACAAAGAAGTTTAGAAAGTGTACGCCAATCCCAGATGAAGAGACTGAAGAAGCACAAATTAAGAAATTATTTCCTTCAAAGCCACAAATCAGGTGGGATGAACCCGAATACACAGAGCAGCAGCCAAATTTTACCGTAGAAGAACTTAAGGAGGCATTAAGCAAATGTAAAAATAAGAAAGCTCCCGGACCAGACGGTATAAAAATAGAAATAATAAAAGCGGTAGCCGAGGGAAATTACCACCTGCTATTGGATTGTATAAACAGCTTATGGCAAAAAGGGGCATTTCCGACGGAATGGAAAATAGCCAAACTAGTGCTGATAGAGAAACCCATGAAACCTGAAATGCAAAATAAGGAATTTAGACCAATATGTCTCTTAAATAACATTAGTAAATTGTATGAAAGACTAATAAAAACACGACTGGAAAACGAAATACGCGAAAACGGGGATCTGTCGGAACAGCAATACGGATTCAGATGCGGGAGGTCAACTTTGGATGCAATCAAATATGTGATGCAGAGAGCTGAAGAGACAAACAAAGTGGGATATAAAAACAGGGGATTTTGTCTCCTAGTTACGTTGGACATTAGCAATGCATTCAATTCTGCCAGATGGGAAATTATAGTAGAAGAACTGATCAAGAAAAAAATAGGTAGTCATTTAATAAAGGTGATACAAGAATATCTGACAAACAGGAAAATAAAAACAAGTGGAGGACGAGTACAGGAAATAACATGCGGAGTCCCCCAAGGTTCAGTGCTAAGGCCAATATTGTGGAATGTATTGTATGACAGAATCTTAAAAATAAAATGTCCAAAAGGAACTAGTTTGGTCGCATTCGCAGACGATCTTGCGGTGGTGGTGTGCGCAAAAAGCGAAATATAAATGCAAGATAAAGCCAAAGACACAATTCAATTAGTGAAAAACGAGCTGGACAAAATGGACCTAACATTAAATCTTGAAAAGACAGACGCAGTTTTACTGTCGGGGAGGAGAAAACTACCGGAATTAAAAATTAAGATATCGGAAAACTTTTACTTCAAAACACAAAAAAAAATAAAATACCTCGGACTAGTAATAGACAAAGACCTTAGAATGGCAGCTCATGTAGACCATGTGGTTAGTCATGCAGAGAAAAAAGCCGTTGCAATAATGAGACTAATGCCAAATATTGGAGGCCCCGGAGACACTACTAGAAGGATATATGCGATGGTAGCCAAATCGGTAATAATGTACGCAGCCCCCTTATGGATGAAAGTGTGGAAAACAAAAATTTACAAAGAAAAACTGGAAAGGCTAAACCGACGTTTAGCCATAAGGGTGGCCAGAGCATACAGAACGGTGAGACATAGTGCAGTATTGGTAATAGCGGGTCTGCCACCACTAGAACTCCTGGCAATAGAAAAGGACGACATAGAGAAAGGGAAAAGCAAGGAAACGAGCAGAAGAGACCTACTAACAAATTGGCAAGCAAGGTGGAACGAAGAAAGGTGTTGGACAAAAGAGCTGATAAAAAATATTGAGCCTTGGATAAACAGAGGACATGGAGAGCTAAACTACAATCTGAGCATGGTGTTAACTGGACATGGAACCTTTAATACATACAGAAAAAGAATAAAAAAAGATGAAACGGGTCTGTGCTGGTTCTGTGAAGAGGACGTAAAGGATACCCCCGAACATGCAGTATTTGAATGTAAAAGATTCAAGGAAAAAAGGCTAGAGCTAAACATGAAAATAAAGGATAGTATAACGAAAGAAAACATGACAAATATGATGATAAAGAACGAGAAAAACTGGAATGACATAAACAAATACATAAATGACATAATGGACGTAAAAAGAGAGAAAGAAAGAAGTATAGAAAGGAAAAAATAGTGAGACCGAAGGCAGGCCAAAGAAATGTCCTATGGACGGTACTGGCTGTCTTCAGAAGGATGGGGAGGGGTTTTAGGGCGGTAAAAATCCCCCACTTCCCCGCGAATATGACATCTTCTCGCGGGGAGCCTTTTGAAGGTTTCCCCTCCTCCCCCAAGAAATAAAAAAAAAAAAAAAGGTCAGGTCAGGTCAGGTCAGGTCAGGTCAGGTCAGGTCAGGTCCCAGGGGAGAAGCCAAACTCCTACTGGGCGCGTCTCCCGGGTGGCGGATAGGGGAAGCCCTCACCGGCTTTGCCGGCGGGTTACGGTGAAATAAAATAGCCGTCGCGGACCAAATAGAGCAGCGGAGGAGACAACCTCCGAAGAAATAAAAAACATTTATTGACGACGTACGCTATTAAACGGAGACGAGTTGGTTATAGTTAGCCAGGTGGGCCGCTCTTGGTAAAAGCCCCCTCACCACGACAAGGTGGCGGCCCATCGAGGGGGGACTAGCGAAGAGGAGAAGTCCTCTAGAAGAATACTTACCAGCTTATGGATATGGACAAGAATACTGGAACACAATCTACGGAGCAAGGGATATCGGAGTCCCTAGTTCCGGTCGGAGAGGAGGGTGGTAACGCGGGCCCCCACCGACCGTCATCCTGCGACCGTGGCGCCTCTTCAGTGGGAAACCAGGCTGGGGGGCGGAGCTCAGATACTGGAGAAGAAGAAGAAGAAGATGGTGAAGAGATTTTCAAAGACAAACCTTTGATAAGAAGAAGCCCCACTACACCGGTTTCGAAAAAAGTGCAAAACTTTGAGAATATTAGTAGGGAATACGAGCAAACAGATACAAGCCACACAGAGGAGGGGGAAGCAATGAACACCAGAAAACATAAAAAGAGAAAGGCTGAAGGTAGCCCGGCCATAATGGAATTGGATATCATGGAAGAAAATGAATATGTGTACAAAATCAGCAAAAAGGTTGAAGAGCTAGAGAAATTCGGTAAGGAAAACCAAAATGTGCACAAAGCAGTTAAAAAAGGGGTGGCCGAAATTAGCTACCTAATGCGAAGATTGATAAAAGAAGAAAACAGAATTAAGAATAAACGAGCAGAACAAAGTAAAGCGCAAGAGAAGAAATATAAAGAAGTCGAAAAAAGAGTTAAGGAACTAGAAGGATCGGACCAAGGTAAAACTGGACCAAGGGTAGAAACAGAAAACAAAACAGATAGAGATGAAAGAAACAAGGGAGAAAAACCGTCGAGCGTTACCATAAGTACGCAGGTAGATGAAGAAGAAATAGAAAAAAATTACACAATAATTAACTTCAAAAACGAAGTGACCAAATATAGAGACGGATCTAACCTAGGGGATTTAATAAATAAGGCATGGCCAGCAGATATATATATATATATTCAGTAACAAAAATAGTCAGGGGAACGCCGCTAAGCATCGATAAGTCCTGGGACTTAGCAATACTAGTAACGGCCGAAGACAAAATTATGGAAAATGGCATAAATAAACAATTCAAAGAACGCTACCCGGAACTTATAGAAGAGGAGGAAGGAATTCTAAGAGTTGAACAAACAACTAAGACCAACAAAGGGGTGAATACGAGAATGGTTTGGAGAGTAAATGTCGAGAATGAGGAAGAGCCAGTCTCTCTACTAATACTGTAATCTCCATAAGTGTTGAGGAATTGGAAGAACTCATCGAAAAAGCAACTGAGAAATTAGAGAAAAAAATTGGTCTAAAGAGTTTAGACAGTACTTCCCTCGCTGTCGGAAACTTGACGACTGCATGCCTATTGTGTTTTTTTTCTCATTACATTTTTGTAGTGGGAATTTAAAAAAAAATTGCGATGACGTCATCAACATTTTTGCAAGGACACGTATATCAGTTGGGATAGATGTAGTGCAATACTAAGAATAAAATTATTATATTCTCAAATTTTCGGGAAAATGAATTGGGTCGTTTGAATATTGATTTGTAATAATCAATAAAATAACGAAACAATTTACTCACGTATACCTACGTATCAGAGGCAACTAAAAATCGTGTATGTATAAACATTGTTAATTTAAGATGACAGGCGTAACAGCATACGTGAGAGCCAAACACAGAAACTGTAAACAAAACGACCGTCGGTTTTATTGCTTCGACTTCCGCTTATTATATAAAACATTGGGTTTTATTTTAATTCTTGACGGTGAAATTCACAATTGGTTGATTATAAACATGTCTATTTCGCATTCGCGGAACCAAGTGACCGCATAAAACAAATGCAGATCTGTAACGTTAAAGTCGATGTAAATAAGCGTGCTACCCTTATGTTTCAACCGAGTTTTTCCTTTAACAAATTTTGTGTCTACCAAATTGGGTTGGTTGGGGTGTAATACTAATAACAAGTGTTGCCTTTAATTTAATCAATAAAATAAATTGACTTCATTAATTTTTTTGAACCACCTCTTAAGAAAATCTAAAAAATATGAATGGAATGATAAATCACAAGTACAAACTCATCATATTTTTTGCATTTTAGATAGGATTTATTCAGGAAAATTTAAGGGTGACGTCATCAATTTTTTTAGGAGGGATGAACAAATACATTTTGAACAAAAGTTTACCATGCTTATAATAACTTTAAAATATTCCCAAGATTTCAAAGCATTCGGTTTTGTAATTCCTGATTAAATCGATAAAATAAATTCACGCCTTCATTAATTTTTTTCAGTCACCCTGCATATGCAAATCCAAAAATATGAATGGAATGATAAATCACAAGTACAGACTCATCATATTTTGTACATTTTAGATGCGATTTATTCGGAAAACTTTTGAGCTGACGTCATCAGTTTTTTGTAGAAGATAACCAAATATATTTTGACTAAAAATTTATTATGCTCTTTATAACCTTAAAACATCTGCAAGATTTCAAAGCATTCGGTTTTGTAGTTCCTGATTAAATCAATAAAATAAATTTACGCATTCATTAATTTTTTTGAGTCACCCTGTATATGCAAATCCAAAAAATATTAATGGAGTGATAGTTCACAAGTACAGACTCATCATATTTTGTACATTTTAGATATGATTTATTCCACAAACTTTTGAGCTGACGTCATCAAGTTTTTGGAGGGGATAAGCAAATATTTTTTGACTAAAGATTTATGATGCTCTTTATAGCCTTAAAACATCTGCAACATTTCAAAGCATTCTGGTTAGCAGATTAAAAATTAAATTTCAAAATGTTGTTTTATAATTTTGATTTTTTTTCCAAAAATCTGGACGTTTCGGGTGAAAAGTCGATTCAGAGTTGTAAACTACATGTGTAGGACTATGTTATTTTATACAATTGAAAACCCATTTACTATGTACAATTTTGAAGTGACGTCATCGCTTTAGTGGTGGGGATGATTCGACAAATTTTGGTTAGCGTTTTACCATCTACATGATATTCTTAATATAAGTACAAAATTTCACAACAATCGGTCGAGTACTTTCGGAGATTATCTGTCTAATAAAAATCCGTGACAACAGACGGACAGACGGACAGACGTACAGACGGACAGACGGACAGACGGACAGACGGACAGACGGACAGACGGACAGACAGACGGAAATGGGAGACCTATTTCTTCGTCTTCTAGGGGTCATGAAAGATCGAGAAAACGTAAAAGTAGCGAGTCGGCCGACGGACTCGATTACAATACTTCCTTTGCTTACGCTCGGGAAGTAAAAATTGAGACAATGGAACAAACACTCTCCGTATTGATACAAAATCAAAAGTGCATATGTTGTGAAAAGCAAATAAACAAACATCCAGTTTCGAGTGATGAAAACAGCGAAGACGAATTAAACACCTCCGTAGAAACAGTAATCAGCGAGGAACCACTCAAAAAAACAGTTGGTAAGAAAAAGAATTATTATCGTCGAGACAAAAAGCATAAACAACAACGGACGCGGTCACTGTCTAAAGACAGCACCGGAAATTTTAAAAATAGAATAATCATAGGAAATGCCGAACCAGGGCCAGCTACACACGAAGTGAACTTTAGTGCTGCTACAAAGAAAGCATGGATCTATGTCGGCCGTGTCAAAAGAGGCACTACCTGTGAAAACGTGACGTCTTTTTTAACCAACAAATACAAGGGTAAACAATTTGAAGTAAAAGACTTGCCGGGTAACCAAGATGCAAGAAGCACATCATTCAAGGTGGGTGCAGACTTGGATCTTCTAGAACACTTATATAAATCAGATAATTGGCCTGCCGGCGTACTAGTAAAGAAATTTAACTTCAGGTTTTTTCGAAGACCCGCAGTTGGTAATTTCGAATAAAAAAAATTTATACCAATCAACGGAACAGCAAAACGATCTAAACAGAAGTTATAATCTATTTTTCTTGAACTGTCAGTGCATCCGCAATAAAATGTGCCAGCTTGATGTATTCCTAGAAGAAAACCGGATTGATATATTTTGTGCTTGTGAACATTGGTTATTACCTGCTGAACTACATGCATATAAGTTATTAGAATTTGAAACTGTAACCTCCTACTGCAGACCAAATAAGAAACATGGTGGAGTGGCCATCTTTATTAGAAGAGGACTTGTTGCTGTTGAAATACCAGTTGGGAATTTCTGCATAGAAATACATTTTGAAGTAAGTGCTCTTCACTTAGTTGATGAGAATATTATTGTTATTGTAATATATCGGTCACCCTCAGGCGACATTGAAATTTTTTACAAAAATTTCGAAAGTGTTTTAAATTATCTTTCAATTAAATTTAATAAGGCTTTTTTCATTGTAACAGGAGATTTTAATATAGATTTTTTAATCAACAGTAACTATAAAAACCGATTTGTAGATTTAAGTTCCTCTTATTATTTGGAATATACTGTAAGAGATCCAACAAAAATAAATAAAAAAAGTGTAACCACCTACGACAACATTTTGACAAATATTTCCAATAAATATGCGGTTAACGTTTGCGACAAAAAGTTTGGAGATCACCTTGG